AAAAAATTAAAATAAATAAAAATAAACATAATAGTTATCACCATTCTAGAAAAGTGCAGTAATTGAAGTTCAAAGAAATCATAGTTTTGAAACGTGACTTTTTTAAAGGTAAAAACTTCAATTATGTAAGAAACTAGCTTAAATTGAAGCCTCGTTCAAAATACTGAATGAATGTGTTAATATCTGATTTTTAAAATATAATTTTTGAATACTTACCTAAGTGGCTGTATAATTCTCTACTTGTTTTTAAATCCATTTTCTCTTGTTCTTCAAGTGAGACATCTGGGTAAGACACTGTTTTTCGATGTTTACTACTACTATGAGGCTTCTCTGACTGTCTTGATACAGATTTACTTGCCTCTGTCTTTGTGACCTCTTTAGGCTGGGATACAGCAGAAGTAAGTGACACATTTGGGGCAACTACTTTATCACACATGTACAAGTAATAGCTGGAAACAAAGAAAGGCAAAGAAAGATACATGTTACATATTATTTTAGGTAGAAAAATAAAAAGATGTGACATATTTCCATACCTGAACTCAATTTTTTAACCAGACAACATAACTCAGAAAATAAAGTCAGCAGAAGAGAGTTCTTAAAAAAATAAGTACTTCAGGCATTAAGAGCAAAATTATGAGTAATTTTTGCTATTTTGCAAGTCATTCCTAAGTACTAAAAAGACACTGAGAAAAAAAATTAAGTCTCTTCTTCCCTCAAAACCACCTGAGGGGGAAAAAAAACCATGAAGCACATAGTAGAACTCTTTAATAGCTCTGAGCAGGTAAGAATTTATTTCAGAGAGAGAAAAGGCTGTATATCACTTTGAAGGCCTGTTTTCAACCTCCAAAGCAAGGGACACACTTGCTCTTTGCTAGATGAGGCTGCTTTAGTGAACCACTGCATGGCCCCGGCCTCACTGGGATGACAGGCCAATGAGAAGCTCCCAGGGCCTTCTTACACAACTCACAGAAAGAACAGTCTGTGAATGCAGCCCAGCTACCAAGCAGTTCTCCTTGTATCAAACTCCACAGAGCAATCTTATTATAATACTTCAGTATTTTCTACTTATTCAATAAAACAGAACAACAAATTGGGCAAAATTAAGATTGAAAGGATAACTACCAATTTTGCGCAAAGCTAATATAAGATTGTTCAGATTAACTGCAAGGCTCGTAGGACAAATTTGAGCTAGATATTTAAGTAACATATTTTAACTATAATCTAAGTAGCCATCAGTAAAAAGATGCAATCAGTTAACACTTCATCCCCTAAACATCAGATAATCGATCTCTTATCTGTTTTCTTTGTATAGGGCATCTATGTTGCTCCTCTATCTCATGAACTCAGTATTCTGCTTTAAAAAAAAAAAAAAGAAAAAGAAAAAACTGATAGGTTTCATAGTACCCAAAAGAATTACTTCAAGTTTAGTATGTATGACAGTGATTTTTGTACAACTATAAATAATACTCTAACTGTTCATCATCATGCTTGAGGATTATAGATTTATAGCAGCAGATAAAGATCTAAAAAAATGTTTATAATCTATAGTATGGTTTTATTGAAAATATGAAAACTTGCTTTTGAGAACTGTGATAATTATAAAATCTCAAAGTTCCAAAGAATTTTTTTAAACTATCAAAGTTACACAAAAACTCTTAAAGAACTGGTTTACCTCTTCAACATAAGTAGGAAATGAAAGGAAAACTTTGATTTTTTACTTATGAGTAGGAAAGGAACTAATTTATTTCAAGAAAAATCATAGAATTACCTAGTAAAAGTTATGTCAAATAATGAATACAATTTACACTTCATTTCAGTCATCAAATTTTTTCTGAGTTAATTAAATATACAATCCTACAATTTCCCCATAATGACAAACATAAGCAAAAGATACTAAGTTCCAAGTTATTGTTTAAAAAGTTTCAAATTTTTAAAGGTAATCTATTAAAAAGGCATAAAACTAAATAGTAAATTCCTAGTACCTAGAATAGTATTTAGCAGATAGTTAATAAATGAATAAATTAATGAATGAATAAACAAACAAATGAATAACACTTACCTGGGGTGTAAAAATGAATGTGTCTGAGAAATATGTTCACCTTCCTGCTTTATAACAGGATACCATGACTGCAATTCCATTCTTGATGGTACCTCAGTCTGTAGAAAAAGGCAGAGGCCAAAGTTTATCAAGTGGAAAAAGTAACAGATTTGTTTGGGGGGGTTTGTTTTGTTTTGGCAGTATTAGAGATCAAACCCAGGGCCTCATGAAGATCACGCAAATACTCTACCAATGATGGTTAATTTTATCAGGGCTGGGTAGGACCACTGGGTAAAGAAGAGTTATATTTTCAAGAGCCATATACTAGTAAGGCAGTCTTTCCTCAAAGTACCATATCTAGTCACTTAAAATTCGAAGAGACTGCTACATGAACTATGCCATCACAGGAAGTTTCAGTATGTATGTTATCAGAAATTATCTCATCAAGTTTCATACTTACAGAACATACTATACACAACACTGGGAACCTGAGTCTTATTTTTGCTCTTATAATGAACTAGACTATCCTACCCTTACAGTATATTAACTATATAATATTCTACAGCAGTAAGTACTTTTGGGAAGGTAAACCCAAAACCACTGTTAACAAGTATCAGTAAACAATTATTTCCTCATAAATGTAAAAAGTTTTGTTTGGCTGGCTTTTTTAGTGTTGAAGGATGAGCTACACCAGTAAATAAAAGAAAATGATGAGAAACTCTGGCAACTTAATGAGCATATATACCTACTAAAAAATTTTTTTCTTTTGGTACCGGGGATCGAACTTGGGACCTTGCGCTTGTGAGACAGGCAGTGGAAGCTACTAAAAATTTTATATATCCTGCTTAATTTTAACAAATACCTCTCCACTAAGTAGGTTATCAATTATCTCCATTTTACAGATTAAAAAAACCAAATGAGGTTCAAAATTAAGGGAAAAAGTGAATACAGTTACCAACTTCTCCCTTACTTTGGTTTGCTTTATAGTCTGTTTTGCCCTCTTTTCCTCCCCTCCCATTTTTTACATTATAATAATGATGTTGCTTTTTTGGGAAAAGAATACATTTTAAAAGGCAAGAGTCACTGGTAGAAAGAGTAAAGGAAAAACTGAAAGATGGCATGGTTATGGTGAAGAACAAAGATAGGAGGTTAACAGACAAATCCAGTACAGTAAAAGAATGGGATTAGGAACGCATTAGGTAAAGTCAAAATGGACAGCTGGGTATTTTCTGGAACCTTTCCTGTGAAAAAGATCCAATATTCCTCTGAAAGGCTCCAATCCCATCTGCATCAAACCAAGATGTGTGGGAAATGACAACTTTATTTGACAATGAATAAACAGGAGCCAGTGGTATAGCACAGTGGTACTGCACTTGCCTAGCATGAGTGAGGCTCTAGCCTCAATCTCCAGCACCACAAAAGAATAAAAACCTATAGGAGATAGCCACCAAATACTAAGAACAGGAATACTGTTTTACCAGATGTCTGGGTTCAGAACCCAGAGACAAGAAAGGGAAAGGCAAAAAAAAAAAAAAAGGAAAAGGGGAAGGGGAAGGGAAAAAAAAGGATAAAAGAAGGATGTTAAACAGTTACAATGAAAGCACAATCAATTCTGAAGTGTCCATGGTTTGATTAGGGTCATCCTGCTAACAGAGGACCAATGTGGGTGAAGAAACCAGGATAATATACTTTATAGTACACCAAGATAGGAGTCTGAGGCTCTGGAGGTAGGAATATTCTACTGGTTCTGCACTGCCCACCGCTCTTGGACACAAAAGAGAAATAAATGACCATCTTATTTAAACAGCCATTACGTCTCTTACTTAGAGCCAAACTTCATCTTACTACCAGGGTTTACTGAACCTAAATAGAGGGGGGCAGGAATGAAGATGTTAAGTGAGCAGCCTAGCACCTTCAACAAAACAGGTGAAAACAAAAGGAAGAAGCTCTACACATCACACAATTTGATCAATCAAGAGATAACAAAGCCAGGAAAATGCCAAAATCAAAAATATAGTGACTTGTAATGGTGAAGATCTACATTTCTGTAAAGAATTACTAGGCAGGGGCGAGGAATTTAGCTCAGTGGTTCCACCACCTTCCTCACAAGCGCAAGGTCCCGAGTTCAATCCCCAGTACCAAAAAAAAAAAGAACTTAAGAATTGAGTATTCAGTGAGGCCCCATCCACTATATACAAGTAGTTTTTTTTTTAAGCTCACATTCCTCATCAAATATTGTAAAGATTCAAATATGCATCACAATTCTGATATAACAGTCTGAACCTGGGCAAATTCAACTGCTTATTTATAAAATAAATCGATCGCTTGTTTACATAGTTTCTTCAGCCTAAGGCTTAGATTTAGCAGTAAATGAGTAAAGGAACTGACTTCTAGCAACAAATACTAAATGATAAATGTGCTCTGACAGCTAAGGTGAAAGGAGAATATAAAAAATGAACATAAAGGGCCAGGGATTTAGCTCAGTGGTTTCGACACCTGCTGCGCAAGCACAAGGACCCAAGTTCGATCCCCAGTACCAAAAAAAAAAAAAATGAACATAAAAACTGCATCAAAAAGCAAGGCAATCTGAGAGCCTTGACACAGACCAGGACAAATAATTTAATATATCTCAAAGGTCCCCCATTCCCTATCTAAGAGTATAGTAACTGATATTGAAGAAGTCAGTCAATATGACATAGTTAAATTATGTTCTGCATACCACTTAGATTCAAAATTCTTTAAAATATTTTAAATTCATTTAAAAATATTTAAGTATTTAAAAGTCACAGTGCTTACAAGAGTTGCTTAATGGGAAAAATATTTTGAACTCCAAACCTGTATGATAAGAGGTATTAATAAGCATAGGTAAGATAAATCTAGTAAATCAAATGAAATCTAAGATCATTTTTAAACGAGAATGTTTTCTAGAAGTCACACATTAAAACTGATTTAGAGGGCTGGGGATTTAGCTCAGTGGTTTTGCTGCCTGCTGTACAAGCACAAGGACCCGAGTTCAATCCCCGGTACCAAAACAAAACAAACAAACAAAAAAAAAACTAAGTTAGAAAACAAGGCTTCTCTATAAATCAGTCTTACATCTGAAATAATCCTAGATGTACTTACTATCTAATAAATTGTTTCCTGATTTTTTTATTAAAATCATTAAAATTGATTTATACATTTAAAGTTCTTTTTTTGTTTTTTGGGTTTTTCTTGGTACAGGGGATCAAACTCGGGTCCTTGCACTTGCAAAGCACGTGGCAGAACCACTGAGCTAAATCCACAGCCCCAAAAGTTTTTCTACTATGCACACTGAAATATCAAATTTTCAGAACAGCAAGCAAATTCTGAGCTTTCTCAGGCAAAGATCATGACTTGAAATCTGAAAAATTTTAATCGTCAAGTTCAAAATTCTAGTTTTATTTTTCTTCACAATCCAAACCCACTGCCTCTTTATTTCTATTATGTCTCTAAACTTTAAACACCATCTTAAATAACTGCTAGCATATTTTTAAACATCCATCCCTCTTAATTGCCATTCTTATAATTTCCTGTTTTCCTGTCAATCCACTAACAGAATCACAAATCAAGGGTTCTAAAGAAATCTCCCTTAAGGATCATCTAATGTCTGAATTTCCTACACACTGAGGCTTACTCCTTTGCCAGATAAATAGTTATCCAGCCTCTGGTGCAACAGCAGATTGAGATCACAAACATTATTATTTTGTATTTTTAGTATCTACCACTATGCTTATCATGCACAGGAACTCAGAATTTACTTTGTTGAGTAAATTCTGAAGGCCAGTGTAGCTCATTAATTCTCAGGGAACCCTTTTCTAAGGTTTTGGAAGAGGGTCCTGAAGGTGCAGCTCAATGGTACAGGACCTGCCTAGCATGCTCATGTCCCTGGGTTTAATCCTCAGCACCACCAAAGTGGGTGGGGGGTACAGGGTTACTAGGTACCATATGAAATTTAAGACAGTTGTTTTTATCTTTGATATCCTTATACTCCATGAAGCACCAAAGAAGCCCAACAGTCCTTAGGCTGTATTTTATCAGATATACAAATTAAATAATACAAATGGTAGGGAAATGTACACACTAACCATGATAAAATATTGTAAGTTAATTTTACTTAATATGCTATGGTGAGCCATTATTACAAATTATCCTAACTGCATGTTAAAAACAATTAAGAAAAGCACATATTACAAAACATTCAGACATGCCAGATTTTCTCATTTATTCTGCATTTGTGTCAACATACAAATTAGATTTTCAAAAAGGAACAATATAATTAAATGGCACAGCACTAATGCTACTGATCAGGAATAAAAATGAGACACCAATATATGAGCATCTATTGCCTTTTATCTTACCTTTCAACACAGGAATAATTCATTCTTTTGTGCACTTAAACAGTGAAATAAGATACATTATATGAGTTGACAAGGGAGAGATCTTTCAGCAGCTTCAGTTAGAAAGCCTTAACATTTTTAAATGCTTTTATCACTCATTCCCCTCCCCATTATCTATCTCAAAATGAACAGATGGCATCTCCATTTCACATACATAAGCAAAATTTCAGATATATTATTTCATTCCAAAGGTTCTAATCTCTTAAATCATAAAACTCCAAATATCTATGAAAGCAAAATTTAAACAATCCTAAAATATATAGTACATTAATTTTTATAAGTAAAAAATCAGAAAATTTTCTTACTGACATTTCTCTAAATTTCTGCATCTTACTATACTTACTGTATATACATGATCCTCTGATAATCAGATTTCCTAATGAAGAACTATTGTATTTTTCTGATACAATGCTTATTAATCTCACAATAACAAATAATTTAGAGAGCTTGATTTCATTTATTATAAAAAAGATTTTTGGCATCACTTTTTAAAAACAAAAGCAATTCCAGGGCCTGGGATTTAGCTCAGTGGTGCCGCCAACCTGCCTTGCAAGTGCAAGGTCCCAAGTTGGATCCCTGGTACAAAAAAAAAAAAGAAAAAAAAAGTGATTCCACCCACTCAGCACTATCCATATACAAATACTCCTACTTGCACCAAAAAAAAAAAAAAGAAAAAAAGACCTTTAGAAATCCTAGACTGA